CCCGTAAGATCTAATGACTACACTAGCTATAGTAACCAAAGTGCGCGCATCAACGCCACAGTGCCAAAATCATCATCATCATCATCATCATCATCATCACCACCATCACCACCAACAACAACAGCAACACCACCAACAACAACAACACCAAAAAACGACCACGTCATCATCATCATCATCATCATCATTATCATCATCATCATCATCATCATCATCATCATCATCATCATCCTCACCGTCATCATTGTAAACAGAGAATAAAAAAGGTTGAGACTTGGTTGGATTTCCAAAATATATTATATAATACGTTCAACGTTTCGCTGTATTGCTTCATCAGGAACATTTAAAAAAAGGGTCAACATCATCATCATCACAAACAAGAACAAGAACAACCACAACAGCAACAGAACAGGGAGAAGAAGAAGAAAAATAACAGCACCGTCAATGGCTGACTAGACAGACACATAGATCTACCTGTCGAAAAATCTCTTTCTCGTGGTAATAAATCTCGACATCCATCTCTCTGTAGAGCCACTTTGCCATGTAATCGAAGGGGTCGGCAGGTCGAATCTGCAACAAAATCGTTTTCAATAAGACATTTACTGTATCTAATCTAATGTGACCTTTTATAAATAATTAGCTTTAGGCAGAGCATACTGGTTCTTATGTGTAAGCGTGTGCATTTTTAATTTGTGCCTTGTTCCGGTAATAAGCTAATGAGCTATTGGTGACAACGTTGGTCAATCAATACAAATATCCTAAAGAAAGTAAGGACAACACAGAGAACACTATAAAGGAAGAATAATATGTTGGGTTAAGAATACAAGATAGAAAAAAAAAGTATACAAAAATACGAAATAAAACAAGAGTGGCAGATATCTCAAATTAAAATTCTCCGATAGAAATGGAAATACGCTGGTTACATAGGTAGAATGAAGGACATCAGATGGACAGAAAGATGAATTGAATGGAGATCAAGAACACGAAAACGACCACGAGGAAGACTGGAAAGAAGATGGCAAAAATGACACCAGAGAGCGGACATGTATTACCTGGAGATGAAGAATAGTCGATAGAACACAATGGGGGTCATTATTTGAGGGCTATATCTTGCAGTGGACTGACAGAGCCTTGTCTCTCAAGATAAGTTCCAGTGAGCGTTCTTCATTTAATTTGTTTGACAAAGAATTTGTTGCTCTTCTTATTGTTGTTGCTGATGCTGCTGCTATTGTTGTTTTGTTTATGCCTACGACGACAACGACGATGACAATCATCATCATCACGATGATGATGTAATTGCTGATATATGGAATGTGTTGGTTTTTAAAAAAATATTTTGACTTTTGCTTTTTATACTAAATGCAGTAGCCGCAGTGACTCTCAGATATGTGTAACGAAGACGAGACTGAAGAGGAAGATATATAAGCAATAAATATGTTTAGTGTCATAAACATTATGTTGGTATTAATAAAAAGTTGGGTCTATTCTGTTGTTTAGTTCTTTTTTTTAGTGACCCTTGTCTGTTTTATTATGTTCGTCTATGTAACCTTTTTTTTTTCTCTCGCTCTTCGATTAATCCTCCACTGCGTTAGTGATGCGTTTTTAACACGTTTCTTAATCCTTGGCCAATTTTTGTTTTTGTTTTGTATGTTTTTCTGTTTGAATGTTCGTTTGTTCGGGTATTTTTGTTTGTCTGTTTGTTTATTTGTTGTTCTTGTTATGTCTGATTGAATTACAGGGATGTGGATGGGGTGGGGGAGTATTGTGTGATGTTTTTAGCGGGAAACTTCTTTCGACTAACCTGACAAACATCGTGGAGACATCTGCTCAAAACTCCCCCCACTGCGTGTTGTAGGTAGACGGAGTTAGCGTCCATTTTGTCTCATCAATACAGCACGCCGAGAGTCTGTCTGAACGTAAAGAAAAGAATTGTTTAAGTGAGAGTTTTACGGCACTTGCAACGCAAACAGGTCATATGAATGCCGAAGGTTAGAGGTGCTGCTGAAGAGTGACATACACAATTAAATGAAAGGAGGAGAGATAAGAACAATAGATGTTTGATAAGATGGAAGAAGCAAACCACACCAGAGCACCCACCAACCATCCACGAGATCGATAGACACACAGGAAGAGAAAAACCCGACAATAAGAGGGGAGGAAAAGGAGTACACAATATAATAATAA